ACATAAAAGACATTAAACAAAAAGTACTCACCCCCTTAAAAGGAGGAAGATAATGACCATCAAGTCATGGCCAAAGTACACAATCTTAGGAAACAGTGTAGTAGGTAATGATTGGACCTTTTTCATCAACGGCATTGGCATCCTTGCTTTGCAGGTGTGTTCCACCACTGGGTTTCAGAGGTTTCTGTAAATAAAGTGATTTGGGGTTCCTGCTATTGGGCATTCTTCTATCATGAAACAGTTTGGTGATGAGAAGCTTGAGTGTCTAATGCATGTGTGTCAGCTTTATTGGAGCTGCTTTTGTACTGTGGCCACCCATTTAACTTCCTCTGTGGTTGATATCTCAGAGCTAGAGGACTCTGCCTTAACTTCTTCATCAGAACACGATCTGATATCTCCAAGTATCTTGCACTGTGACGCCCCTGTAAGAGAGAGGTGGAAGACAAAAAAAAAGAAAAGAAAAAAAGCAAAACACAAACAGAGACAGGTGGAGAGGAGAGAGGCCAGGGCTGAGTTCCAGTGAGATAAACACTTTCTTACATTACTGCCTGAGACCTCTCAAACAACAGGATCTGCCTGTGGACTCTAGTGAGGGGAGAGGAACCTGCCTTCAGTTGGGTAGTCAGAAACAGTTTTCCAGGGCTAGGTGTGGAGGCTCATGCCTATAATTCCAGCACTTTGGGAGGTCAAGGCCAGAGGATTGCTTGAGCCTAGGAGTTTGAGACTAGCCTGGGCAACCTAACAAGACCACATCTCTACAGAAGTGATTTGAAAATTAGCTGGGTGTGGTGGCATGTACCTGTGGTCCCAGCTACTTGGGAGGCTGAGGTGGGAGGATTGCTTAAGCCCAGGAGGCTGCAGTGAGCTATGATCGTGCCAGTGCACTCCAGCCTGGGCAAGAGTGAAACTCTGTCTCTAAAAGCAAAAATGTTTCAGGCACAGGCAGTGCTGAAGACATCAGTTAGCAAGGTTTTGTTAATCCCCTGGAAGTGTGCAGCCCAGAATTAAACAGATGTTTAAGAACATAAATAAAATATGAATTCCTGACACTTAATACATTTAGATAAAGTCTAACTTATCTTTAAAGTTAACTTTAAACAACTGCTCTACGACTTAATATATCCCCTGTGTAGACAGTGGTCTCTAGTATAAGCTTTGGTTTAAAAAATAAATTAGGTTAAGTATGAAAACACCTCTTCAACATTTTCATATCTCTACAAGTGTTTATTAGAAATAATCCACTTTGTCCTGTATTCACTTTCTGCTGATCTAAAGTACATGCCAGTCTCTAGAGGATGACAGATAGGCAGAAATTTGTAAAACAGCAGCAGTTATGGATGGTCCAGCCTGCAAGTAGAACATCCCAGACCTCTTGGGTACTGCTGTCTCAGGGAGAAGGATCTAGAGATCTAGCATTTCTATTCCCTCATGTACCGACCAAATAAACTTTTTTAGTTTGCAGATTTTGGTGGGAACAGGGAGGGAGTAGTAGAAGCTGAAGTTCTTGCTTTATTTAAATAATCATGACAGTAACAAAATTCGGTTAAATAAATACCCCTTCTGGGCTGGGCGTGGTGGCTCATGCCTGTAATCCCAGCATGTTGGGAGGTTGAGGCAGTCAGATTACTTGAGGTCAGGAGTTTGAGACCAGCCTGGCCAACATGGTGAAATATCATCTCTACTAAAAATATAAAAATTAGCCAAGTGTGGTGGCACACACCTATAATCCCAGTTACTCGGGAGGCTGAGGCAGGAGAATCACTTGAACCAGAGAGGTGGAGGTTGCAGTAAGCCAAGAGCAAGCCACTGCACTCCAGCCTGGGCGACAGAGTGAAACGCCCATCTCAAATTAAAAAATAATAAATAAAATAATAACGCCCCTTCTAGTTGAAGAACTAAGTTCCCACTTAAGCATAATTTGGGCTTACGCAGCTTATCTTCTTTCAAAATACCTCAAACGTTTCACCTTATTATTCCTTTTAAGGATTACAAAGTAGAAGTGGGGTGGGGAATAAACCACTAATAAAGAATAATAGCCATTTGACAGACAGGTGTTCTTAGTTTCATTTTTTAAAGTGCTTGGTAGATTCAGTCTTTTATGAATACTAAGGAATGTCCCTTATTTTTGTTTGTTTGAGACAGGTTCATTTTGAACCCAAACTGGTGTTCTCAGGGAGCATAGATTAGAGGGCAGAGATTTAGAAGTGAGGGCCCAAGCAAGAAGCACTGCTGTTGGAAGGCTGCTGTAGTGGTCCTCGTGGGGAGTGAGAAGAACGGAACTAAAATGCCATGAGGAACATGGGCCAAAGGAAGCAAGTCTGAGAGATTTAGAAGGTAAATCATTAAGATTCAGCAGCGACTCTTGGATTTGAAGAGGGAAAGGGAATCATCTAGGGTAGCTGTCAGTTGCTACCACAGATAGTTGGGTCAACCATAGCGTATTGACTGAAATAGGGGCAGGCAATTTGTGAGGGGAATTGAGCTCAGCACGGGGCATGTTGACTTCGGATATGTCTAATTTTACAGGAAGTGTCTACTTAAGAGAATGTGTATAGACACTAGCAAGGGCTGGGTAGGAACACGTAATACCTAAGGTGCCAAATGAAAACTCTTGGCAATAACAAGAAGTTAGAAAGCTAAAGAGGGTAGAAGACGCAGCAGAAATGTAGATGGGTAAGAACATCTTGGCATGTCTAAGTGACATTGTGAATAAACCTGTCCTACTGGGCCAGATGGGATTAGGGCTGAGATCAAAGCAGGTCTAATGCAGTTTGCAGACACGTTTTGTTTGGCTTTTGCAGGGCTGGATCACACAGTGTCCTGAATTTAAATTAGGTGCCAACATTTCCACACAAAATCCAGACTTCTGACTTTTCTTTTAAATAAAAGGGGTCCTGGGGGTAGATTTGGCAACACTGGTAGTCCTATATGATAACAATCGACTGAAGTATATGTCCTTTCTCTCCAAGGAACCTGTTTTACTTTTTTATGTTATTTTGTTGGGCCGTTAGATATTTGAATTTTCTGCTGTTTTGTGCGTGTTGCTGTTTGTTTGTTTTTTTAGCCAGGTTTATAAGTCAGATGAATTTTCTGCTTCTGAGTCAAAGATCAGTAGGGAACAAAGGTGCAAAGGTAGATTAGCAACAGGTTACGGAGGATTTTGAGTGCCAAATGAAGGAGTGTAAATGTAGGCAGTGGGCCACCTTTGAATAAGGAATTGATGAGATTAAAGCCATATTTAGGAGGATTATTCTGGACCAGTATGAAAATACAGAAATTAGGGAGAACAGTTACTAGTTTTGAAAGAGAAGAGAGAAAGGAGATGGTGTTGGGATACATAAATGGACTTTTACAGTGCAAAATGGGAAGTGTTTTATAGTGATATCATCTAGAAAAGCTATTCAGTGCCACATAAGGCACTATATGGGCAGTTGTATTCGGTGGGAAATTTGCTTGCAGACTTCCAGAACTGAAACCAATGTGTTGTGTGGGGACAGTGAGTGTTGGGTATTATGGAAAGGTCAAACAAAATATGCTTACATGGCCCACAGGTCACTGTAGTCTCTGTTCTAAGTATACTGTAAATGGAGAAATGTCCTTTTAAAAAAAAGGCTAAAATTAATATCTGATTGTTATTAACTGTTTGCCAAACACTGTTCTAAGCTCTTTACACAGACATTTTATTTAATCCTCACAACCAATTTCTGAAGTAGGTACTACTGCAATTTCCATTTTATAGACAAAGAAACTAAAACCCTAGAGGTTAGGAACTTACCCAAATTCACAAGGCTGATAAGGACGGAACCAGGATTTGAATGCAAGCAGTCTGCCTCTCCAGAGGTTTATCGTTTAACTGCTATGTTAAGCTGCCCTTGCATCTTTATCTGTTCTAATGCTACACAAATAGGCAACTTTACAGGTAGAGAACCTTATGCTTTCATTCTGGAAGCTCTGTTATAACTTATTTCAGGGGTGTCAGTTTGGTTCAGGTCCTCCTAGAAAACCTGAAACTCCATAATTGACCCTTGAACTGTCTCTTAGGGAGCAGATAAGTCCTTGGGTGACCTTGAGAGAACAATTAAGTTCAAATGTCTATTCTCTTCCATTAGCTAATGGCTCAGTGTTAGCTTATAATTACATGCTTCTAACCCTTTGTTGAAAAATAACTCTTATAAAAATGCTTTTTTTCTTTTTTGAGATGGAGTCTTGCTCTGTTGCTCAGGCTGAAGTGCAGTTGCATGATCTCAGCTCACTGCAACTTCTGCCTCCTGGGTTCAAGGGATTCTCCTATCTCCGCCTCCCGAGTAGCTGGGATTACAGGCACGTGCTACCACACCTGGCCAATTTTTGTATTTTTTGTAGAGATTTGATTTCACCATATTGGCCAGGCTGGTCTCGAACTCCTGACCTTGTGATCTGCCCACCTTGGCCTCCCAAAGTACTGGGATCACAGGCATGAGCCACTGCACCCAGCCATAAAAATGCTTTTTTAAGATGAAAGCTAAAACATGCTCAATTTTTTTTCATATGTTGTCATGAAAAATTATCATAGGACAAATTTTTTTTTTTTTTTTTGAGACTGAGTTTCACTCTTGTTTCCCAGGCTGGTGTGCAATTGTGCGGTCTCAGCTCACCGCAACCTCCACCTCCTGGGTTCAAGCAATTCTCCTGCCTCAGCCTCCTGAGTAGCTGGGATTACAGGCACGCGCCACCATGCCCAGCTAATGTTTTGTATTTTTAGTAGAGATGGGGTTTCACCATGTTGACCAGGATGGTCTCTATCTCTTGACCTCATGATCCACCTGCCTCGGCCTCCCAAAGTGCTGGGATTACAAGCCTGAGCCACTGCGCCTGGCCTGACAAATTTTATAGATATTCGAATTTGGAAAAAGTTGTGAGCCCATAACATTGCAGAGAAGCAAATGCATTTGATGCAAAGCCTCACACTTGTCAAGTTTTTCTACTATACTTAGTGTGGTTTCTTTCTCTTTGGCCTACAGATGAAACATGTAAATGAAAGATTTCAAGATAAAAAAAATAAAGAGATTGTTCTCACATGCATTGGCATCACTTCAGGAGTTGGACGACTGCTCTTTGGCCGGATTGCAGATTATGTGCCTGGTGTGAAGAAGGTTTATCTACAGGTACTTTTTTACACTTTTTTTTCCCCCTACAAAAAATTATTCTCATCACCTGATGGCTTATTAAATGTGCTTACATGCTTCAGTTCTTGTATAAAAATGAGAAATATTTTCTACAACATAACTCCTATAGGCAGTTTTTCAAGGACAAAATCAGTTATGAGTCTGTGTTTTAAACATGAGAAATTGGCAATGAAACAACAATTGCTTTGTTTGGTCATGGAACTCCACCAAACCAGAATGGTTTTCATCCATTGCTTTTCTAAGAAGAATGTTTTTTGGTGTAGTTCTCATGTCATGTGCAGATCCTGTGCCTTCTGGGTGTCTTATGAAATTTGGTCATGTGTGTGACTTTTGAACTTCTTTAGGGCAAATTGCCTCCTGGTGTTTTGGGTTGAGCATAAACAAATGCTGATTCCAAGATCATTACTGACAATCAACAGAACAGGGATTGAAGTGACTCCTTCTTGCGACACACTGTTAAATGCTGAAGAGTTAAGTGAAACATGGTCTGTGCCCTCAGCTAGTGGCTAATGGTCTCATAGGAGAAGATAAAACAGTGTTGCAGCACAGTGGAATAATGGGTTTGCTAGATGGGTGCCATGGCAACACCGGGCACTGTGCATCTGAGTCACTAGTGAGGGTCTGAGCAGAGTTACAGAGGTGAGGACCAAGTATGTGGAAAAGGAAAACAGAGAAGCATGCACCGAGCAGAGACAAACACATGGAAAAGCTGTGGAGGTGTGACATGGGAGGATATATCTGGGAAACCGAATGTTTGAATGGAATAAAGGAAGAATAGTGGATGGATTGGTTGGGGAGATAGACAGGAAGCAGCTTGGGAAGGGCCATTATGTACATGAACTCTATCCTGAAATCTTCAAGGAGCTATTAAAGGATTTTAAGCCAGAGAGTGACATAAGTTGGGGAAGCAGGTGGTTGGTGTTTTTTGTTTTTTGAGACAAGGTTTCACTCTGTTACCCAGGAGTACAGTGGTGCCATTATGGCTCACTGCAGCCTCGACCTCCTGGGCTCAGCCCTCCTGGGCTCCCACCTCAAACTCCTGAGTAACTGTGACTACAGGTGCATGCCACCACACCTGGCTAATTTTTCTATTTTTTTGTAGTAATAGGCTTTCACTGTCTTTCCCAGGCTGGTCTCAAACTCTTGGACTCAAACAATCCACTCATTTTGGCTTCCCAAAGTGCAGGGATTATAGGTGTAAGCCATGCCCAGGCTGAGCTGTGTTTTATAAAGATCAATCTCAGCCATGTGTGGTGGCTCATGCCTGTAATCCCAGCACTTTGGGAGGCCGAGGTGGGCAGAGCACCTGAGGCCAGGAGTTTGAGATTAGACATGGCAAAACCCCATCTCTACTAAAAATACAAAAATTAGCCAGGTGTAGTGGCACATTCCTGTAATCCCAGCTACTCAGGTGGCTGAGGCAGGAGAATCACTTGAACCTGGGAGGCAGAAGTTACAGTGAGCCAAGATTGTGCCACTGCACTCCAGCCTGGGTGACACAGCAAGACTCCATCTCTCGGGGGCAGGGTGGGGAAATGAATCTGGTAACTGTAACGGGTGGAATAGAATGGAGGAGGGGGTAAGAGTTGAGATAGTCACAAAAGACCACATACAAATGAATAATTTCATTTATATGAAGTGTCCAGAATAGTCATCTCTGTCTCTTTCCATAGAGAAAGAAGGTAGATTTGTGGTTATAGGGGCTGGGAGAAGGAGGGAATGGGGAGTAACTGCTTTGTGGGGGTAATGAAAATGTTATAAAATTAGATAGTGATGATGGTTGTACAATATTGTGAATATACTAAAACTCACTGAATTGTACACTTTAAATGGGTGAATTTAATAGGATGTGAATTATATCTCAATAAAGCTATTTTTTGAAAAGGCTGGGCATGGCGACTCATGTCTGTAATCTCAACACTTTAGGAGGCTGAAGCAGGAGGATCACTTCAGGCCAGTTTGAGATAATCCTGGAATCATAGTGAGACCCCATCTCTAAAAAAAAAAAAAAAAAAAAAAAAAAAACGTTTTTAAGTTAGCCAGGCATGGTGGCACACACCTGTAGTCTTAGCTATGCAGGAGGCTGAGGCAGGAGGATCGCTTGAGCCTAGGGCTTTGAGGTTACAAAGGAGTATGATCATGCCACTGCACTCCAGCCTAGGTGACAGAGCGACACCTTGTCTCTAAAATCTAGAAAAAAAGAGATGAGGCCCAGAGACTAGTTGGAAACTATATTAAGGTAGTCTAGGGGTCTATACAGGAAGAACCAAGGCAGAGATATTGAGATCAAATGGAATAAGCTAGGGACATAGAGAATGAGAATTTGATGAAGCCACTTACACTGGATCTGAGATTTGTGACTCAGGGAATGGAGTGGATGGTTTTGCTATCTTATCAAGATCAATATTCAGTAGATCTAAGTATGATGATGAATTTTTTTTAATTGAAAAAAATTTTTTCACCCAACCTACTTGCCTCTGCTCCAACAATGAGTTTATTTTTGCCATGTTAAGTTTGTGATACCTGTAGGAAAGCCAAGTTGAGTTTAGAGCTCATGGAGGAGTCTGGATAAGAGGCCTGTGGGTTAAAAGCCCTGAGAGTTTGGCATTGATGGGCTACTGAAGTCAGTGGAGGACTAGGGAGATTGAAAGGGAGTGGCCAGAGAGGCAGGGGAGAAAATCAGGGACGAGAGTGTTTCTCGGGGCAGGAGTGGTCAACAGTGCCAGTAGCTAGTGACAAAGAGGCTGAAAGGTTTTATTCGAATTTAGAAGAGGGAGGCTATGAGCGACCTTACAGAGAATGGTTTCAGTGGATGGCAGGTACAGAAAATTGATTGTGATCATTTTCACAAATGGAGATATAGACAACTTTGTCCAAATGCTTGGCTGTGGAAGGAAGGTAAAGGCGAGCCACAAGGGGGGGCCTTAGGATTTGGGGATTAAGCCTGTCGAATTATATTATCCATGAGAGGCAGTATTTGAGCAGGGCCTTGAAAAAGAGGTTAAATTTGGACACAGGAAAATTATTGCAAAAGGCATTACAGATAAAATTAACTTCCATTAATTGACTTGATAACAGTCAACTATTTATTGAGGATTTTCATGTGCCAGACAATGAACTGAGTGCTCTCCATGTGTCATCTCGTTGATCCTTGCCTCAGCCCTCTAAGAGAGGAGGTACCATTGTTATTTCCACTTAGAGATGTGAACACTGAGGAACAGAGAGGCTACCTCAGCGTGGGTGTCAGTGTGTATAGAGGTCCAGGCAGTCACAGACAGCCTGGTCACACAGCTAGAAGGAAGTGAAGGCAGTTGGTAATGTGCTACTTTTAAAAATGTATTTATTGGCTGGGTGCAGTGGCTCACGCCTGTAATCCCAGCACTTTGGGGGCCCAAGGCAGGTGGATCACCTGAGGTCAGGAGTTCGAGACCAACCTGACCAATATGGTGAAACGCCATCTCTAAAATAAATAATAAATACATAAATAAATAAAAAAATGTATTTATTGTATCACAATCACTTTGTCAATATCTCACTGTAGACATCCTCATCTAGCAGTCTTGTTCTCCAGTGTCAAGGGAGCCCTCTAACGGACATTTGTTGCACTACAGACTTTCAGCTTTCATTCATTCAAAAACTTGAGTGACTCCTGTGCCCCAAGCACCAGCTCAGATGCTGTTAGGGTGATGCAAACAAGACAGACACGGTCCCTGAGTTCCTAAAGCCAGACTGAAGCAGGAAGATGCCAAATGTGTTTGGAAACCCAAGAAGACGGGGAGAGTGGCATGGGAAGAGACTGGGAAATTCGAGTGGGCCAGATTAGACCGAGCCTTGAAAGCCAAGATGAAGAGACTTTGCTTTCAGAGTAGTGGACTTTTGTTGAAGGATGTAGGTCTAATTTTACATTTTTAAAGTCACTATGGTTGTTCTGTGTGTGGAGGATGGATTACAGGGGGAAACGAGTGTAAGAGGGGAGGAAGACCCATTAGGAGATCAGTACAGGGTCCAGGTGAGAGATGATAGACTATGGTGCTGTAATAGGTAAAGTCATGATATATTTTATACATCAGCATTTTATTCCAAAACAATTTTTGAATGTCCTCTTCCCCTAGATAGGGCAGACAGATCATCTGCAATATTTTTGGAACACATTTTAAAACTTGTTTCTAGAAATTTACAAAAGAAAATATAGCCTTTCTTAGCTTGTCCCATGTTGGTCTGCAGTTACACAGCAGTAAGTTAAAAGTTAGCGTTGTGGGTTTAGTTTGTGGTGGACCAACAGAACTCTGTTGCCAAATGTTTTCTGTCCTGGATGCCTAATCAGAGGCTCTGAAAGTCTGGAGACTTTATATTGACTAAACTTTAGGAACGTCAATTAGATGTCCATCTCCAAGATACCTTCTTATTCAGGTGCAGCTCATTATTTCCTCTTGAGCTATACTTGAGATTCTTGAGAAAAACCTGAACTGACATTTGTCTAGCAATGCTCTCCTTGAGATAGCAATAGGAAAGGTAAGAACAAAAGGAATCTTTTGTTCTCATGTACATACACTAACTCACAGAAGGTGACTTCTTCTGTAGCCTGTGCTATTATAGCAAATATTATATTTATGTATTTATGATATATGACCTATTTCCTTAAAGAAAACAAAAGCAATATAGACATGTAAACTGTCACCCACTTATTATCAGTGCCACAGCCTAGGAGAAAATAAGGAGGCTGTGTATCTCTTATTTGAATCTAACAAGAGCTGCTGTGTTTGAGGGCAAGTTTTAAAAGATTTATGTAATACTAAATGTATTCGTCTTTCACACTGAATCCCAGCATCACCAGATCAGTATTTGATGCCTGGATTAATATTTATTTTGGTGAGGGCTGAAGCACGGAATCTGTTTTAAGTGTAGTTTGCCAGATGTCGGCACGAGCTCCTTGTGGCTCAGGCATCCCTGCATATGAGGAATAGGTATGTTCTCACCAGCCTCACCCTCTTACCTCCAAATTTAGCCAGATTCTAGGTAGTAGCATCTCCTGGGAAGGAGCATCACTACAGTAGCTACAAATAAGGTGAAAGAAGCAAATTATTTTTCTGAGAAGTACGAATAGATGTATCAATTTCTATAAACACAAGTCTTAAAATGAAAAAAATTATATTTAAATAACTACATAAATCATTGTCTAATTTTAAAAAATATAACAATATAGTTTGAATAGAGAAAAGGACAACTGGCAGTCGGGGAAGTATAAAGAAATAATATGCTCAGAATATATAGCAATAAGTTAGAAACTTTTACATAAATAATTTTTTACAAAACTGACCAAAGAAGAAAAATTTGAAGAGGCCAAGTTCCAGGACTCATGTTACATAAATTGTTCTAAAATAACATTAGTACTTAAGCAAAGTTGAAAAGTTAACAAAGCTAAGTACTGTACTAGGCTTTCAACATTAACTAAGTATTAAAATTCTACAGAGCTGGTTTTCTTATCTTTAAAGAAATTTGTTGGCAAGCGGCTCTGGTGTTCAAAAAAGGAAATGTGTACTGACCAAAATAGGAAAAGAATATGAAGCACATTAAAAGAAAAATATATATATTCCTGAAAACCTTGTATAATTACAGTGGCATGGTTGGGAATGTTTGGTCTGTAGTTTTAACAATTAAATCCATTGAATCTGGCCCCTTACCATCCTGAAGTTTTATTCTAGATTCCTGGAGTTTGTGATTATAGATATGTTTCTAATATTTAAGTAAGTTTCTATGTTTATCTCCTTTTGTGTTTGTACATAGAATAAAAATGTTTCTACTGTTAAGAATATTAAGATTGACACAGTGGCTCATGCCTGTAATCCTACACTTTGGGAGACCAAAGCAGGTAGTTTGAGCCCAGGAGTTCAAGATTGGCTTGGGCAACATAGTAAAACCCATCTCTACAAAACATAAAAAATTAGCTGGGCATGGTGGTATGTCCTAGTTACTTGGGTGACTGAAGTGTGAGGGTCACTTTGAGCCCAGGAGTCTGAGGCTGCAGCGAGTTGTGATCACACTACTGCATTCCAGCCTGGGCAACAAAGTGACACCTGTTTCAAATATAAAAAATAAAAAATTGGGGTTTATCTACTTAGATTTTCAATAAAAATTACTACTTAAATCTTTATGTACTTGTTAATTTCAAACCCCTTTCTACATTTTATCTTTAGATCTCTTTTTGTCTCAATAAATGGGAAGCATAAGGAAGTCTTTTTACTTGCTCAAGGTCATAGGGAGCTTAGAAGCTGATCATGTCCCTTTAAGCCCCAGCTCTTTCCAACCTGCTGGGCTGTAAGCCTGGCAATTACTGCTAAGCAGTTATGCTTGTGCTGTCATGGAAGTTGTGTTGAAGAGGATATTATATTTAATTAGCAAATACAAATCAGAAGAATAGGGAGATTTTGTTCTTTAGAAGTGCCAGTGTGAAGTGCTTGGCTTATTTTTCAAATGGCCAACTCGCAATCTTAAACTAACCATAATTTTACTGTAAGATCATATTTTAGTGATTGAAGAAAAAATGTACCAACTATATGATATGATGGTGTCAAAAAGAACTAACCCAATATGAAACATTTTTCAAGAGCGTGTTTCCTATTTTGGTGTCAGTGGACCACTTGTGTTAAAGTTGTGAAAACCAACACACCTGAATTCCACCCAGAACTCACACTCTGCACCTTCAGAGCCCCTCAAATTGTGAGTGGCTGTCCTGAGGTGTACTACCAACCTCCAGCATCCGTAGGTCCGTAGGTGTGCTAGTGGAGCCTAGGAGAAACAGAATAGATGAAGACAGTGATGCATGCAGCTATTTTCTCTGGTCTCTCTTTCCTCCCCAGCCTCACTGTCATTGGGAGGCACCCTTAGGCACAGTTCTGTTCACTGCCTGCTGCTGCCTACTTGGACCATGGGTTCCAGGATGGCTCCATCTTCTGTGCTTTGGGCACATTACTTAACCTCTCCCAGCATCACTATCTTCATCAGTAAAATAGAGACAACATTAGTAACCACCTCATAAAGTTGTTATGAGGCTCACCAGTGAGATAATCAATCTAACGTGCTTACAACAATGCTTGACACTTAGTAAATACTAAATAAATGATAGTTGCTATAATATGCATGCTTAAAAAAAAAAACCTGATGCTTTTAAAAACATTTTTTCTGCTGACTAGTAAACTGTTCAGTTTTAACAAGTTCTGTGCCTTAAAAAAATGTATTGAATTGACTGTTTTCTCCTTTTTTGTGCCCACCATGCTTTGTTTTTATTTCCTTTTTTTTGCGTCATTTTATTTATTTTATTATTATTTTTTGAGACAGAGTCTTGCTCTGTTGTCCAGGCTGGAGTGCAGTAGCATGAGCTTGGCTCACTGCAACCTCCATCTCCTGGGCTCAAGCAATTCTTCGGTCTCAGCCTTTCAAGTAGCTGGGATTACAGGCGTGTGCCACCATGACCAGCTAATTTTTTTATTTTTAGTAAAGACGAGGTTTTACCATGTTGACCAGGCTGGTCTCGAACTCCTGACCTCAGGTAATCTGCCTGTCTTGGCCTCCCAAAGTGCCAGGATTATAGGTGTGAGCCACCACGCCTGGCCCATACTTTGAATATATAACTACAGTAGCATATAAACACTTCACTTGTGCTTATTTATTTAAATGTCCATCTTTCCATAACCCAGGGGTAGGAACAAAGTCTTATTCATTGTTGAAATCTCTAGCACATAGCACAGTGCCTACCAAATAGTGGGCACAATCAGGTGTTTGATTCCATTAACTACTCTAATACTGAAATGAAAGTGTTCAATGGCTCAAAATAAATATCATAAGCCTTAACTCTGGGGTGCTTAAATTTATTTGTAATGTCTGCCAGTAAAGTATACATAGTTTTAAAAGTTAAAAAAAATCAATTGTTTGATGAATTTGAGCTGATTGAGCACTGACCAGGTACAGGATCCTTAAACTTCATAAAGACTTTTTTTTTTTTTGAGATAGAATTTCACTCTTGTTGGCCAGGCTGTAGTGTAATGGCATGATCTCAGCTTACTGCAACCTCCGCCTCTCAGCTTCTAGTGATTCTCCAGATTCAGCCACCCCAGTAGCTGGGATTACAGGGACCACCACCACACCCAGCTAATTTTGTATTTTTAGTAGAGACAAGTTTTCTCCATGTCGGTCAGTTGGTCTCAAACTCCCGATCTCAGGTGATCTGCCCACCTAGGCCTTCCAAAGTTCTGGGATTACAGGCACGAGCCACTGTGCCTTGTGAATTTTTTTTTTTTTTTTTTTTTTTTTACAGATTCTGAGTTCAAGGGCTGGGAGGGAAAGTAAACACATAAAAAGTTATTTTTGGCTGGGTGCTGTGGCTCATGCCTGTAATCCTAGCACTTTGGGAGGCCAAGGTGGGAGTATCACTTGGGGTCAGGAGTTTGAGACCTGCCTGGTCAAAATGGTGAAATCCCATCTCTACTAAAAATACAAAAATAAGCCAGATATGGTGGTGCTTGCCTGTAGTCCCAGCTGCTTAGGAGGTAGAAACAGGAGAATCGCTTGAAGCCAGGAGGCAGAAGTTATAATGAGCCAAGATCTTACCACTCACTGCACTCCAGCCTGGGTGACAGAGCGAAACTCTGGATTAAAAAAAAAAAAAAAAAAAAAAGTTATTTTCTTCTTGTCCCTTAATGGAAATATTGAGAAAGTGCTGGGGGAACTTGAAGGAGATGACTATAGGAGTTGATTATGTATATAAAATCAAAGTGAATGAGGCAGTAGCAGGGGGGAGAACAAGCAATCACTTAGAAGTCCTAAGCATGTTGCATGGTAGTTGTGACATTCACTTTTCCTGAGAGCAGAGCTGACATTATGGTGTCCATCCTAGGTACTCTCCTTCTTCTTCATTGGTCTGATGTCCATGATGATTCCCCTGTGTAGCGTCTTTGGGGCCCTTATTGCTGTGTGTCTCATCATGGGTCTCTTCGATGGATGCTTCATTTCCATTATGGCTCCCATAGCCTTTGAGTTAGTTGGTGCCCAGGATGTCTCCCAAGCAATTGGATTTCTGCTCGGATTCATGTCTATACCCATGACTGTTGGCCCACCCATTGCAGGTAAATATAATGATTCTCCACTAATTATATTACTTCATAGTATTTTCTACTTCAGGTCTTAATTAAGTCTCACTTATATGTGAAACATATTACAGGTTATTGATTACTGGTCTTTTGCTTTTATGTGTGCTTTACTGGCAACATTTTTAATAAGGCTAGTTATAAACGGTATGTCGAAAAAGTTTGCTGAAGAGTCCCTCTTATCATTACTGGTAGCTAAAACACTGAATAAAATATGTAACAGTGGGCCAGGCACAGTGGCTCACACCTGCAATCACAGCACTTTGGGAGGGTAAGGCAGGAGGATCACCTGAGTCCAGGAGCTTGAGACCAAGCCTGGGCAGCATAGTGAGATACTATCTCTACAAAAAATAAAAAAAAAATCAGGAGACCCATCTCACATGCAAAGACTCACATAGACTCAAAATAAAGGGATGGAAGAAGATTTACCAAGCAAATGAAGAGCAAAAAATAGCAGGGGTAGCGATCCTAGTCTCTGATAAAACGAACTTTAAACCAACAAAGATTAAAAGAGACAAAGAAGGACCTTACATAATGCTAAAAGGATCAATGCAACAAGAAGAGCTAACTATCCCAAATATATATGTACCCAATGCAGAAGCACCCAGATACATAAAGCAAGTTCTTAAAGACCTACAAAGAGACTTAGACTCCCACACAATAATAGTGGGAGACTTTAGCACTCCACTGACAATATTGTACAGATCAATGAGACAGAAAGTCAACAAAGATATCCAGGACTTGAATGCAGATTTGGACCAAGTGGACCTAATAGATATTTACAGGACACTCCAACCCAAATCCACAGAATACACATTCTTCTCAGCACCACACTGCACTTACTCCAAAACTGATCACATAATTGGAAGTAAATCACTCCTCAGCAAATGCAAAAGAACAGAAATCATAACAAGCACTCTCTCAGACCACAGTGCAATCAAATTAGAACTCAGGATTAAGAAAAGCACTCAAAACCACACAATCACATGGAAACTGAACAACTTGCTCCTGAATGGTGAATGCATAAACAATGAAATGAAGGCAGAAATAAAAATGTCCTTTGAAACCAACAAGAATGAAGACACAATGTACCAGATCCTATGGGACACATTTAAAGCAGTGTCTAGAGGGAAATTTACAGCAATAAATGCCCACATGAGAAGCAAGGAAAGATCTAAAATTGACACCCTATTATCAAAATTGGAAGAGCTAGAGGAGCAAGATCAAAAAAACTCAAAAGCAAGCAGAAGACAAGAAATAACTAAGATCAGAGCAGCACTGAAGGAGATAGAGACACAAAAACCCCTTCAAAAAATCAATAAATCCAGGAGCTGGTTTTTTGAAAAGATCAACAAAATAGATAGACTACTATCTAGACTAATAAAAAAGAAAAGAGAGAAGAATCAAATAGATGCAATAAAAAACAACAAAGAGGAGATCACCACCAATTCCTCAAAAATACACACTATCATCAGAGATGACTACAAACAACTCTATGCACACAAACCAGTAAATCTGGAAGAAATGGATAAATTACTGGACACTTGCACTCTCCCAAGACTAAGCCAAGAAGTTGAAACCCTGAATAGACCAATAACAAGGGCTGAAGTTGAGGCAGCAATTAATAGCCTACTGACCAAAAAAGTCCAGGTCCAGATGCGTTCACAGCTGAATTCTACCAGACATACAAAGAGGAGCTGGTACCATTCCTGTTAAAACTATTCCAAATAATACAAAAAGAGGGAATCCTCCCTAACTCTTCCTATGAGACCAACATCATCCTGATACCAAAATCAGGCAGAGACACAACTAAAGAAGAAAACTACAGCCAATATCCATGATGAACATTGATGCAAAAATCTTCAATAAAATACAGGCAAACTGAATCCAATAGCACATCAAAAAGCTTATCCACCACGATCAAGTAGTCTTCACCCCAGGGATGCAAGGCTGGTTCAGCATATGCAAATCTAAAAACATAATTCACCACATAAACAGAACCAAAGACAAAACCCACATGATTATCTCAATAGATGCAGAGAAGACCTTCGACAAAACTCAACAGCCCTTTATGCTAAAAACTCTCAATAAACTAGGTATCAATGGTACGTATCTCAAAACAATAAAAGCTATTTACAACAAACCAATAGCCAGTATCATACTGAATGGGCAAAAATTAGAAACATTCCCTTTAAAAGTTGGCACTAGACAAGGATGCCCTCTCTCACCACTCCTATTCAATATAGTATTGGAAGTTCTAGCCAGAGCAATCAGGCAAGAAAAAGAAATAAAGGGCATTCAACTAGGAAAAGAAGAAGTCAAATTGTCCCTCTTTGCAGACAACATGATCGTATATTTACAAGACCCCATCATCTCAGCCCAAAACCTCCTTAAGCTGATAAGAAACTTCAGCAAAGTCTCAGGATACAAAATCAATATGCAAAAATCACAAGCATTTCTATACACCAATAACAGACAGGAGAGCCAAATCATGAGCAAACTCCCATTTACAATTGCTACAAAGAGAATAAAAATACCTAGGAATACAACTAACAAAGGAGGTAAAAGATCTCTTCAAGAAGAACTACAAACCACTGATCAAGGAAATAAGAGAGGACACAAACAGATGGAGAAGCATTCCATGCTCATGGTTAGGAAGAATCAATATTGTGAAAATGGCCATACTGCCCAAAGTAATTTATAGATTCAATGCTATCCCCATCAAGCTACCATTGACCTTCACAGAACTGGAAAAAAAAAACACTTTAAACTTCATATGAAAAATAAAATTTAAAAGAAAAAGAAGAAATTTAAAAAAGAAAGAAAAAATAAATAAAATAAACTTTATATGAATCCAAAGAGAGCCCACATAGCCAAGACAATCCTAAGAAAAAGAACAAAGCTGGAGGCATCACCCTACCTGAATCCAAACTATACTATAAGGCTACAGTAATCAAAACAGCATGATACTGGAACCAAAACAGAGATATAGACCAAAGAGCAAAACAGAGGCCTCAGAAGCAACACTACACATTTACAACCACCTGATCTTTGATAAACCAGACAAACACAGGCAATGGGGAAAGGATTCCCTGTTTAATAAATGATGTTGGGAAAACTGGCTAGCCATATTCAGGAAGCTGAAACTGGACCCCTTCCTTACACCTTATACAAAAATTAACTCCAGATGGATGAAAGATTTAAACATAAGAACTAACACCATAAAAACCCTAGAAGAAAACCTAGGCAAAACCATTCAGGACATAGGCACAGGCAAGGACTTCATGACTAAAACACTAAAAGCAATGGCAACAAAAGCCAAAATCAACAAATGAGACCTAATTAAACTTAAGAGTTTCTGCACAGCAAGAGACACAATCATTAGGGTAAACCAGCAACCAACAGAATGGGAAAAATTTTCACAATCTACCCATCGGACAAAGGGCTAATATCCAGAATCTACAAAGAACTAAAACAGATTTACAAGAAAAAAACAAACAAACTCATTCAAAAGTGGGCAAAGGATATGAACAGACACTTTTCAAAAGAAGACAAATATGCGGCCAACAAAACTACGAAAAAACGCTCATCATCACTGGTCATTAGAGAAATGCAAATCAAAACCACATTGAGATACCATCTCATGCCAGTTAGAATGGCGATCATTAAAAAATCTGGAGACAACAGATGCTGGAGAGGATGTGGAGAAATAGGAACACTTTTACACTGTTGGTGGGAGTGTAAATTAGTTCAACCATTGTGGAAGACAGTGTGGCGATTCCTCAAGGATCTAGAAATAGAAATTCCATTTGACCCAGCAATCCCATTATTGGGTATATATTGAAAGGATTATAAATCGTTCTATCATAAAGACACATGCACATGTATATTCACTGTGGCACTGTTTACAATAGTAAAGACCTGGAACCAACCCAAATGCCCATCGATGATAGACTGTACAAAAAAATGTGGCACATATACTCCATGAGATACTATGCATCCATTAAAAAAGATGAGCTCGTTTTTTGTAGAGGCATGGATGAACCTAGAAACCATCATTCTCAGCACACTGACACAAGAACAGAAAACCAAACACCACACGTTTTCACTCACAGGCAGATGATGAACAATGAGAACACTTGGGCACAGGGAAGGGAACAACACTCACAGGGCTAGGTGAGCAGGTGGAGGGGAGGGGAGGTGGGGGACAGTGGGGATGGGTGGGGAAAATGGGGAGAGTAACACTGGGAGAAATGCCTGGTGTAGGCAACGGTGGGGTGGGGATGGAGACAGCAAACCACCATGGCATGTATTACCTACGTGACAATCCTGCAGGATGCAGGACGTGCACGTGTACCCCAGAGCCCAAATACAATAAAATAAATAAAAGGAAAAAGAAAAATAACATAGTAGAAAAAACCCAAATGCCCATAAATAGATAATTGGATAAACAAAACGTAGAATATCTACAGTGCAATATTATTCATCCATAAAGAGGAGAACTGATGCTACCAGGTAAATGAACCTCAAGAACCTTACATGAAGTGAAAGAAGCCAAACATAAAAGGTGACAGCTGGGCCTGGCGGCTCACACCTGTAATTCCAGCACTTTGAGAGGCCAAGGCAGGAGGAGCATTTGCGCTCAGGAGTTCCAGACTCACTTGGGCAATATAGCAAGACCTTGTCTCTACTAAAAATTAAAAAAAAAAAATTAGCCTAGCATGGTGGCACATACTAATAGTAGTAGTTCCACCTACTCCAGAAGCCAAGGTGAGAGGGTCTGTTGAGCCTGGGAGATCAAGGCTGCAGAGCTGTGATAGCACCATTCACTCCAGCCTGGGTGACCTGTCTCAAAATAAAATAAAAGATTGTATATCGTCTGATTCATTTCATGTAAAATATACAGAATAGGTAAATGCATACAGATAGAACACAAACTGGTGGTTGCCAGGGTCTGGAGAGAAAGAGGATTGGGAAGTAACTATTTAATTGGGATGAAGTGTCCTTTTGGCATAATGAAAATATTTTGGAACTAAATAGAAGCGGTGGGTGCACAACATTGTGTATGCACTAAGTGCCACTGACTTGTTCACTTTAAAATAGTTGCTAGTTCTAGCTCATGTGAATTCTACCTCTAGAAATTCTCTGAATGGTATTATAAAGATGTCTCATGTTCAGTATTACTTGGATGCCTGTGTGAATTAGTATTAGAAGATTCAATGTAAGTATGATAAAATGTAAATATATGGACTGTCATCTGTGTTTGGCACATGAGGTGATCAGCAAAGGTTGAGCTCAATTCCTTCTCATATCCTGAACTGCATTCCTAGTCATGAATCAAGCAAGCAGACTTACTACCGAGCAGACTAAATACAGTTTAAGTTCAAAAGGTTGTGGTATTCCTACAGGAGAACCCTCCATTCCTTCTTCTCTCCCACAAGTAATATACTATTCACTCTTCTTTATACCCCACAAGCTTAGTTTTACAGTTTCTAAGTCCACGGCAGATTTTATATAAGTGACACTTTAGTAGTAAATAGTTTTGCTACCAGAAGTGACAGTTAACAGCAAGAATAAGGGAGGTAACAGGAAACTTCTAAAGCAAGCAGAACAACAGCACACAGCAACTCGCAGCAGAAAGTCCCTGGCTCGCCAGGAGGCTCTGAAGGCATCATAGTATTAGAGCAACACATCATTATGAGTGTTCATAAGGATGAAGAGTTCAGTTATATATGGAATAGTCTGATTCCCAAGATAGAAAACTTGTATATTTACAGATATTGTCTTTTTTTCTTTTTTTTTTTTCTTTGAGACAGAGTCTCGCTCTGTCACCATGCTGTCACTGGTGCAATCTCCACTCACTGCAACCTCTGCCTCCTGGTTCAAGTGATCCCCTGCCTCAGCCTCCCCAGTAACTGGGACTACAGGCACATGTCACCACGCCCGGCTACTTTTTTGTATTTTAGTAGAGACAGGATTTCGCCATTTGGCCAGGATGGTCTCGATCTCCTGACCTTGTGATCCACCCACTTCAGCCTCCCAAGGTGCTGGGATTACAGGCATGAGCCACTGCACCTGGCCAATATTGTCTGTTTTATATACGTAGAATGGATATACATATTTTTATGTGTTGGTACTTAACTGGACAATCTGTCAGCTATTTATTTAACAAAGTCAGATATTTAGTACAATATGTTCCCTGGACATTTTAGATAACTTAGGTTGTATAATATAAGTTATAAAACTTTTAAAACAAACATGAAGATAACTTTTAAAACCATGAGTCCTGGAATTCTATAGAGAAATTAGAAATGATGAGTACCCTAAATAATAGTTTTTAGAAACAGAACCCAAATATAGAATGCCATTAGTATATTCTTTTATATTTTCTTCCCAGGTACTTAATAAACCTTAGTATCTTTCTAAAATGTATATAACAGCCTAACTTTCATCCAAATTATTAGATTTACAATTTTTCTTATTTTTGAATTATAATTTAAAATAGTTTCATGTTATTTCATGAAAAACAAATAGACCAAAGAGTAGTTTGAAGCTGGGCATGGTGGCTCATGCCCGTAATCCCAGCATTCTGGGAGGCTGAGGTGGGAGGATTGCTTTAGCCAAGGAGCTTGAGACCAGCCTGGGCAACATGACAAAACCCCATCTCTACAAAAAATATAAAAATTAGCCAGGCATGGTAGCATGCACCTGTAGTCGCAGCTACTCAGGAGTGTGAGTGGGGAGGATCAATTGAGCTTGGAAGGTCAAGGCTGCAGTGAGCCATGATTATGCCACTACACTCCAGCCTAGGTGACGCAGTGAGATCCTGTCTCAAAAACAAACAAAAAAAAGCCTATCTATCTTTTCAAGTAGTATCTTGGTGTGAAAATCCAGAGGCCTGTACTTTATGACAAGGCTAAAGATATGAGATCTTTTTCTTCCTATCAAAAAAGGTTTATATTTCAAATCTGTTTCCTAAAATAAAATAAGTCTGATATCTGAGATGTTTGAACCAGTCCTGCTGAGGTGAAATTAGGCTTGAGTAGGCCATGCGTGTGACCGATCTGAGACCCCCTAGAAAGCCACACTTGTTCTCCATTGGTGACAGCTTTTTCCCTTCTCAGGGTTACTTCGTGACAAGCTGGGCTCCTATGATACGGCATTCTACCTCGCTGGAGTCCCTCCCCTTATTGGAGGTGCTGTGCTTTGTTTTATCCCGTGGATCCATAGTAAGAAGCAAAGAGAGGTCAATAAAACCACTGGAAAAGGAAAGACGGAGAAAATGCTGGAGAACCAGAACTCTCTGCTGTCAAGCTCATCCGGAATCTTCAAGAAAGAATCTGACTCTATTATTTAATGTCTTATATACCTCCACCAGACTGGACTTGCTTTCTGAATTTTAAGCAAGTTTCCTTTCCTTTTATACGAATTGCAAATTTAATATTTTTTTAATCACATCCTAGGAATAGCACAATAATTGGGAAATAGAACCCTTATTACTGCAAGAACCACTTTCTGCCACCGAATATCTCTGATGTTGCCATGAGTCTGAGGGCAGAGACTCTGGTATATAAAAACATGTCTGAAAGTTACATTGTGAAAATTTGAAGCTATCTCAGTAAAAAGCAACTTTGGAAACTGTGAAAGCTCTTTAGCTTGTACAAATATTTAAAAATACCTCAAGCTATACTGAAAGGATTGTGGTTTGGTTAGGAGTGGAAATAATTTTGTTTGTTAATGATGTCTTCAGTTCTGGTACCTCTGTTTTACTTTCTTACGCTCTTTGGAAACTTTTTGCAAAATGCAAGCCTGGGTTCTGGATACTACCAGATCTACCTAAACCTCAAGCCTATGTTAAAGTTGCTTTCCTGCTGTTAAATAAGTTATGATATTAAGATATTCTGACTTGCTCCAATGTCAAGGGAGCAGGTGCTAACAATGTGTTCAGAATCAATATGTGAGATGAAAAGGGTCCTCTCCAGGAGAATCCTGAGCTGTTCAAAAATCATTTAAGTTTACGGCATTGTTCCCTTTGCGTTTGCAGTGTGTTTTACTAAAGTAGCCAGAAACACCCACATTTCTGAATTTGTTTAAATTGTACCAATAAAGTAAAACAGAATGCATGAAAGATATTCTGGCAATTGTAACTTAGAATTTTTCTGACTTCTGGATTTGTTGGCACTAGGACCTGATATTTTAAAAAAGTCTTACTGAGCATGTCATCAAGTGGCAGTTACAGGCACAAATTGGTGGAGGCTGGAGGATGTGGTGGGGGGGTGGGAGGAGCAAAACCCTTTATATTTGTGAAGAAAATACCTGTATCTGATAGAAATAATTACTTAAATTAGTTTATGAAATTAATTTGTCTGAAAAAGTTAAAAGCACTTATAAAAAGAACCAAGTCCTACATTTCCAGAACTTTCTGGCAAAAATTTGCACTCATATGTATTTATCCTAGTGTGTTCCCTATTAACATTCTCATTATTTTTTGCTATTTATATACAGGTTATCATAAGAAAGCTGTTAGTTTGAGGACTTAAAATGAAAACTGAAGTCATGCCATGAAACAAGAACATTTTCCTATGTCCCTGCAATTATACTTTAGTACTTTAAGCCTTTAAGTTAGTGATTTTGATTGTAAAGACATTCAGCAACTTACTTTGTCATACACGCACTCGCACCTTACCGCTTGTAATAGTTTTGTATTTCATATTCAGGGGATTTAGAGAATTTGCCTGTGGATGGTTCTTCTGCAGGGAAGAAACATCTACATTTTGACCATACTACCTTTTCATGTTCTTATTATAAACTTTTAGAAACTTATTTCATTCATTCATATCCAGTTTTATAAAACATTACTGTCTCATTCTTAAGAAGTTCAACAAAACATCTCATTTTTGAGAAGTTCAACAAAACAACTAAGACCAATCATCAAACCCACTATTATACATGTTAATTTTGGCTGGGTAAGGTGGCGCATGCCTGTAATCCCAATACTTTGGAAGGCTGAGGGGGGAAGATCACTTGAGCCCAGGAGTTTGAGACTAGCCTGGGCAATATAGCAAGACCCTGTCTCTACTAAAAATAAAAATAAATTAGGCCGGGTGTGGTGGCTCATGCCTGTAATCCTAGCACTTTTGGAATCCAAGGCAGGGGGATGACTTGAGCCCAGGAGTTCAAGACCAGCTTGGGTAGCATACTGAAACCCTGTCTCTACAAAAAATTTAAAAATTAGCCAGGAATAGTGGTACCCACCTATAACCCCAGCTACTTGGAGGCTGAGGTAGTGGAAGGATTGCTTGAGCCTGAGAGGTGGAGGCTTCAGTGAGCTATACCACTGTACTCTAGCCTGTTCAACTGAGCAGGACCCTGTCTGTAAAAGAAAATAAAAAATAAATGTTAATTTAAAAAAAGTTTTAGCACAGACTCCCCTCAAAACACCTTCTCCCTAATTTTACAGAAATTAATTCAAAAATGAAAAATTTACTCTGTAAATACCTCTACATTGTTTTTCTTTTCAAAATTTGGCTGATTTTAGGGGGAAAAGTGGTAATATGAAACTAAAAGAAATTTGCTTGGTTAATTTCAACATTAAAATAGCAGTGACTTAAGTATATATAATATAACTTAGATCTCAGCATATGTGTTTGTATATTAAATTTCACATATGTAGTTTTCACTTTAATGGAATGAATGAAACTGGATCTATAACACTGAAAAAACTCTATTGTAATAGACTCATACAGAGATACTCTGCTATAATAATATAAAGTTAAGAAGAAAACGTATAAGGTAAGATGCTAAATTCCATAAATGCATATTTAGTACTATGCTGTTTATGGGAAAAGTTCTAAAAGTCTGAAATACACAAAGAAAATGAAAAATACCAATATAAAAATTAGTGTTTTAATCTAGTCAAACTAAATCCTTTGTAATTTCTGAATGAAGTGTTACTGCTGCAATAATGTGACCTATAAGCCTCATTTTTTTTATGTTCAATCCAGACACTTTTCTGATATTCTGAAAAGAATACAGAGTCAATAGATTGTAGATCCATGCTTGATGAGTTAAAAAAAAAAATACAGAGTGAGAACTCTGCTTTTATCTCCTCATCCTGTTTTTGATAAGGCTCAGAAAATCCTCAAATTCAAAAGATTCTGCATTGGAGGCCAACAAAAGCATGAAAGGGAGTAACTTTTTTTTTTAAATAGAAACTCTAGATCAGATACTATTGTAACAGACACTCAAGAAACTTCCAGAAACATTTTGGTTAAATTTTATTACAATGGATATTGCTTGGATCCATCCATTTAAGCAGTAATATACCACTCAGAGTATTGATACTTTATTCAAAATGTGTTCATCTGTTTGATCATAGTTGCAATGCTTACTCCAGAGCCCTGCTACAAGACTTGTAATTTCCACTGAGAATTGCATAGTTCTTGTATTGAGATTCAAATTCTGGCCAGGCACGGTGGCTCATGCCTATAATCCCAGCACTTTGGGAGGCCGAGGCAGGTGGATTGCCTGAGCTCAGGAGTTTGCAACCAGCCTGGGCAACACAGTGAAACCCTGTCGCTACTAAAATACAAAAAATTAGCGGGGCATAGCAGTGTGCACCTGTTGTTCCAGCTACTTGGGAGGCTGAGGCAGGGGAATCGCTTGAACCCAGGAGGCGGAGATTGCAGTGAGCCGAGGTTGTGCCACTGTACTCCAGCCTGGGTGACTCCGTCAAAAAAAAAAAAAATTCAAATTCTATGCATAAGTAGAAAAAACTTCATTTACATTTCGTGATCTATATATTATTTGTTTATACATACATGTTTGTAGACAATCCCAGCAGTTCTGCCTAAGTATCTGTTTATACATCTATGTTTGTAGACAATCCTATGAGTTCTGCCCAAGTATGGAGAAATCTTTAATGCTATTAGCATCAACTACCCACACTTTAAAAGTAAACGCATGCATAGTTTCAAAGCAAACATGTTTACTTCTGACAATTCTAATTCTTTTAGCTGCATTTAAGAATATTTTAATTTATACCAATGTCACCCTAAATTGGCCTATGTCCAGATGACTTTTGATGTTAAATCAATGGAAAACTGAATAGAAAATATGGCATGAGACTAGGGGAAGGCAACCAATAGCATGGGTGGCTCTGAGGAGTTCCTGCTGGTGCACTTTCATGCCCTTCCTCATGTACCTTTTGTCTTACTCTTCTTACATTATTCTTATCCTCATCATTTTTTTCATTTCCCTTTACTCCTGCTATCCTTCAAAAACCTCCTGAGGCGTCCGTTCACATCCATGCTTAGCTCTACTGGTTGCGGGGCTGTACTTCCTACTGATCCCCGCAGTTTCACTGAACGGATCCCCGCCCAATTTCGTGTCTCCTAGAGAATGGCTTGCTCTCAGCCTTCAACTTAGAGTTCTAATGGTCTACATTAAATTTAATTTTAATTACATGACTAAAATATTTAAGGGAAGAAATTTCATAAAAATTAGTATCTTTTATGCTAACATTTAAAACTTTATTTACATTTTTAAGGTAAATGCTTTGAGAAAAAAAACATTGCCAAGTCCTTAGCATATTTTCAGAGAGCATAATTTTTTTTTTTTTTTTTTTTTTTTTTTTTTTTTTTTTTTTTTTTTTTGAGACAGAGTTTCGCTCTTGTTACCCAGGCTGGAGTGCAATGGCGCGATCTCGGCTCACCGCAACCTCCGCCTCCTGGGTTCAGGCAATTCTCCTGCCTCAGCCTCCTGAGTTGCTGGGATTACAGGCACGCGCCACCATGCCCAGCTAATTTTTTGTAATTTTAGTAGAGACGGGGTTTCACCATGTTGACCAGGATAGTCTCGATCTCTTGACCTCGTGATCCGCCCGCCTCGGCCTCCCAAAGTGCTGGGATTACAGGCTTGAGCCACCGCGCCCGGCAGAGAGCATAATTTTTTACTTGGATTTCCAGTTTCGCTAAGGCTTTATTCCATCTTAGTCCTAAGAATCCATCATGAAGGGTGACTGGGAATGTAGTGTGCCTCTCTGATGCAGTTCCTAATGATTGTTCTTCAGGAAACTTCCGTAGGTTGGGTTACATTTTCTGGTGAATGATGTTAGAGTAAATTCCCAGAGTTTAGAGATACAAGTGGAAATACATAAGCTAATTAGCTCCAATTTTATAGCATATAAACATTTATAAATTTAAATAAGTATTTAAACTTTTTTAGGATGTCTCTAACACTGAAAAAATGTCATTGTTGCTGGCATAAACTTCAAGGAGCAACCTTTATATTAGGTCAAAGATTGTTGCTTTTCCAGTGTGTTGTCTTAAAAAGAGAAGGAAATGAAACTATTACTTTCTTTTTCCATCTATATGTTTTTATAATTTGATAGGCAAGTCGTATTTTAACAAATAAGAAATGCATCATCCCTAACAATTTAATTAACTCTTAAAAAGACAAGCTTTTTGTCTTGTTATGAAAACAAAAGGCTATTTGTCACTCATAATGGTAATGTGGAATAAGAATACATCATGGAAGGAAGATTTGCTACTTGACTGACTTAATTATAAGTTCTAAGGCCAGGTGTGGTGGCTCACACCTGTAATCCTGGCACTTTTGGAGGCCAAGGCAGTAGGATCACCAGAGTCCAGGGTTCAAGACTTGGCCTGGGCAACATAGTGAGATCTCATCTCTACAAAAAAAGAATTTAGCCAGCTTGGTGGCACATGCCTGTAGTCCCAGCTACTTAGGAGGCTGAGGCAGGAGGATTGCTTGAGCACAGCAGATCAAGGCTGCAGTGAGCTGTGGTTGCACCACTGCACTCCAGCCTGGGCGACAAAATGAGACCTTGTCTAACAAAAGAAAAAAAAATTAGTTCTGTCTATAATACATACCGATTTTTTGTTGATGGCTTGGTCTAAAAAGACTGTCTAGAGCTTAGTTTAAGAATGATTCCGGCCGGGCGCGGTGGCTCAAGCCTGTAATCCCAGCACTTTGGGAGACCGAGGTAGGTGGATCACGAGGTCGAGAGATCGAGACCATCCCGGTCAACATGGTGAAACCCCGTCTCTACTAAAAATACAAAAAATTAGCTGGGCATGGTGGCACATGCCTGTAATCCCAGCTACTCAGGAGGCTGAGGCAGGAGAATTGCCTGAACCCAGGAGGCGGAGGTTGCGGTGAGCCGAGATCGCGCCATTGCACTCCAGCCTGGGTAACAAGAGCGAAACTCCGTCTCAAAAAAAAAAAAAAAAAAAAAGAATGATTCCAGGGGTAAATAATAACAAGGTAGACAAACAGGCCCTGGGCTCACTATAATTTCATGGTCACAACATGTTTATTATTAGTTGGCAGAGTTAATGCTTTGTGTTGTAAATATACTATAGAGCAGGCTTCCCCAAACTACAGCCCGAGGGCTGCATGCGGCCCCCTGAGGCCATTTATCCGGTCCCCCGCTGCACTTCAGGAAGGGGCACCTCTTTCATTGGTGGTCAGTGAGAGGAGCACAGTATGTGGCGGCCCTCCAACGGTCTGAGG